AGTAATTCCATTTCAAGCTGCATTATTGTCATTGTGCTCAGTGCTTTGAGCATTGTTGTTGTCTTTATATATCTATGCACTCAGCAAATGCAGTTGATTAGAATTTTATACCTGCCTTTCTTCATCACTGTCACATTCAATGCCCTTCTTTCCTTACAGCTAACGATAAAAACACGGAGAATTAGCAATCTCAATGGAATTCTGATCTCGACTGATAATATGGCGATCGTTATTATGTCATCGTTGCCATTCTATTATTGTCGTCATTACACTACAGTTGCTCATGTTGTGATCAGTATTACCAGCACTTCGATTGTTATTATCACCACTTTTGTGTGTATTTTTGATATCATAATTGTTGTGCACAAAACTAGCATTGTTGTGTCGTTTCAGGAATGTGAACAGTTTATTACTTCGTATACAATATCGGAATGTGAACTGACTAAACTGAACGTAATTGTCATTCGTAGATGAGCAAATAACAATAACAAAATCAACAATTATCTGAATGCTTCAAAGAATTTCACACGTCCAGTGAAGAATGATATAAACTAATACGATTAAACATGACTAAACAGTGCTATCACTACTATCACAACAACGTTCATTCGAACATTGAAACTTCTAAGTAATAAACACAGTAACATTAAAACTTTTAAAACAATTTTAAGCTCCATAAAAAATGCACACATTCAAACATTAAACAAGAATACAACGGTATCGTTAATAACAAGAACGACTTGAACCCTTTCAATAATATTCATTTAACGTACATCCTGTCAGACTAATTCATTACTCTAAGAAAGAGCAACGATAATACTGATGGAATCAAGCACAAGCATTATTTTTGAATCAGTAGTAAGTAAGTAATGGCCTCAGAGTTGCTACTGGAATTGATCATGAATCGAGAATGCTTAATTGCACAAAATGCTTATTGTTAGTTATTACTATCACGCAAATACTATTTATCCTGTTTTCAACGTGAAAATCTTGCGGTAATTATCAATTACAACTAGTACAAAGCTGCAATTCCTTATGATTGGCCGTATATCATTATTTTGCCCTTCTCTATGCCATCTTCTACGCAACAACTATCGTTGTTGAGGCAGTATTTTCACCATCGCAGTAAATAATATTAAATGATATATGCTTTAGTGCTTATCGTACGAATAGATATTATATATTCTAAATAAAAGCCGATCAGTTCACTTAGAGCCATTCGCTGACAACGAAAATGAACTCTCCAATTTTATCGGAATCAGTGTTATCGTCGGAATTTATCAGAAGTCACTGAAGTTTCGCATACATCTGAGATAGCTGCGCTGCAAAACGTTTCTTCAGTTCCACTCGTTTACTTTTCAATGTCGGTGTCAATAAACCGTTCTCCAATGAAAAGCTCTCCGCGCTCACGTATATATCCTTGACCTAAAACAAGCCCATTATCTGTTTCAAAGCAAACTTCATGAGTGAGTTAATAGATAGCTAAAGCTGAAATTAAACGTAAGTGCAGAAAAGCATCAATGTGAAAGATTTTGTCACGATGTGATCATTTCTCGTCACGAAAATTATTATTTTTCGAATGAAAGTGAAGATGTGTCGCTTGAAAGTGAGATATTTTATCCAAATATTATCAAGCTTTTGAAAACGATACTCCGTTCACAATCTTAAAGTAGACGAAAAGAAAAATATCAGAAAAAACATTCTCAGTTACCTGTTCAAAAGAGCATAGTCCTTCTTGTTTTCCAACACTCAACATATCATCTAAAATTCGACGTTTCACTTGA